AATAGGATATCACCATATCATTATCTCTGAAATAATTAAGCTTCTTGTATGGTGGTGGGTTTTAAGCAACTCAATGACAATTTTATTTGATAAATTTTAGTGAAGATTTTATAAATAAAAATATATAATACCCATTAATTTTTACCTCTCCATGAATAAGGTACAAAAAAGAATTAAATTATGATTTTTTTTAACAAAGCTTACTCATATATGGAACAATTAAACTATTTCCTTTGGTTGTAAGAAAAGATCTATTTAATAAAACTTAGAAAAATATAGATAAATTATAAAAAATATTTAACAGAATTGAACGAAGCAATGAATTTTTAGTTTGTTTTATTCCATCAAATGATTTAAATTATAATATATGTTTATTAACAGAAGAGAATAAAGTAAAAAAGATTTTGCATAATTTTAAGTTCATTCATAATTTCAAATTATGTTCGTTGGATCAAAATAATTAAGCAAATCAATATGTTTAGAGAAAATAACAGAAGAAAATTTTATGGTATTATTAAGAATACCCATAACATATTTTTGCTAGGCAAAAAGGAAATAGTATTAACTAAATATAAAATTCACCAAATTTGAAATATATTAGATATTGAAATATTCAAAGTTAAGTTGAAAAAATTATAATGCATTTTGATTCTTAAACAAATAAAATAATGAATTAAAAAACTGAACTCAAATTTAAAAATAGATGATATTAATTGTTAATAATGTTGCACATGATGTTTTTGATTTAATATCATGAAAATTCAATTTGGCTATTCAAAATACAACTTCCTCTTTCTTTGAATAAATATCGCAAATCTCTGCCTTAATGATTATGAAATTTTCCTTTAAAAATGAGAGCTCCATATGCTTCAAAATGGCTATATTGGGCTATACGTAAAATAGTAACAACATGGTTTACTAAATAAAATCAAATAAATACTACCTTCTAAAAATTATTTGTATTAAACTGATGTTTTGAATTGATCTTATACATCTATAATACTTTTATATTAAGGAAGAATTTTTGTTCCTGTATTGATTTCCCACAAGCGAATAGATTAATCATCACTCCCAGATGCAAATATATTGCCTACAGAAGAGAAGCATATTGATTGAATCCATTTACTATGACCATATAGTTGAAATTTTTATTGGCCTTTTTAAACATCCCATAAACGGATAGAGAGATCTCCACTAGCAGATGCCAATGAGGCTCCATTTGGAGAGAAGCATATTGATAATACTCTACTACTATGGCCATTTAAGTTAGATTTATGTTTTCCAGTCTTAACATCCCACAAACGAATTGACTTATCATAACTACACGATGCTAATATAGCACCATCAGGAGAGAAGCACACTTATGGTACATAATCAGCATGACCATATAATTTAAATTTTTACTATCCTGTCTAAACATTCCATAAACGGATTGACTTGTCATCACTACCAGATGCTAATGCAGTACCATCTGGAGAAAAGCATACTGATCGGACACTATTACCATGACCATACAATTTCAGCTTCAAATGTCCTGTCTTAACATCCCAAAAACGAATAGATTCGTCATCGCTACCAGATGCTAATGCAGTACCATCTGGAGAGAAGCAAACCGACCAGACTCTCTCACTATGACCGTCTAATTTGAATATTTATTATCCTTTCTGAACATCCCATAAACGGATTGAATTGTCATCACTACCTGATGCTAATGCAGTACCATCGGGAGAAAAGCATATTGATCTGATATCACTCCTATGCCCATCTAATTAAAATTTTTATTTTTCTGTCTTTAAATCCCATAAAAGAATAGAAAAATCTCCACTACCTGATGCTAATGTAGCGCCATCTGGAGAGAAGCATAATGAATTGACAGAATCTTTATGACCTTCTAATTTGAATTCTTATTGTCCTGACTTTACATCCCATAAACGGATAGACCTATCTGCACTACAGGATGCTAATGTAGTACCATCAGAAGAGTAGCATAAATATTGAACTCTATTAATATGACCATCTAATTTGATTTGTTACTATCCAGTCTAAACATTCCATATACGAATAGAATTGTCATCACTACCAGATGCTAATGCAGTACCATCGGGAGAAAAGCATACTGATAGGACACTATTACAATGACCATACAAATTCAGCTTCAATTGTCCTGTCTTTACATCCCAAAAACGAATAGAATTGTCATCACTACCAGAAGCTAATGCAGTACCATCTGGAGAGAAGCAAACCGACCAGACTCTCCCACTATGACCGTCTAATTTGAATATTTATTATCCTTTCTGAACATCCCATAAACGGATTGACTTGTCATCACTACCAGATGCTAATGTAGTACCATCAGGAGAGAAGCGTACTGATTGAACTCTACCACTATGTCCTTCTAAAATTAGGCTTTATATTCCTTTCTTTACATCCCATAAACTAATTGACTTATTTGAACCACCAGAAGCTAGTATTTTACCATCAGGAGAGAAGCTTAATGAATTTACAATTTAGTTATGGCATTTTAATTTACATAGTTTTTTTCCTGTCTTAACATTACTTAAAAAAATAAAACCATCCTGATTACCAGATGCTAAAGTAAGGCCATTAGGAGAAACGCATATTGATTAGGCATCATATTAATGACCAAATAATTACGTTATTTTTCTTCCTGTTCTTACATTCCATAATTTTATAGATTTATCTTTACTACAAGAAACTAATTAAGAACCGTCAGGTGAGAAGCAAATGGATCTGACATAATCATTATGATCATCAAGTTAAAGTAACTCCTGTATTTTTAAATTATTCCATTTACAATTAAATAATAAAGCTCCATTCAAATTCGCTCCACTTATGTCTACATTTGAAAATTCAGATCCACTCAAATTACACTAAATGAAATTTGCTCCAATCAAAGAAGTATCTTTAATCCTGATGTTTTCAAAGGATTGCTATTTAAAATTAACTTTCATTTCAACTAATAAATTAAGTGAATTTGATCAGCACCTTATCAATTTATTATCTAGAGCTGTTAGGTTAACTAAAAATTAAAAAAAATTTCTGATCTTTTAATTCTCTTATATTTTCTTAATTAGTTCTTGTCTAGTTTCTGTGTAAGTTTCTTAAGAATAATTATTTTCATTAAAATCATGATCTAATATTTTTTAGATAAGGTTAGTAATCTTCTAAATGTTAGATTTTTCTTGTAATAGTTTCTATTCCTTTTCAACAAATGATAAATTTTTCACCTACAAAATATATTATTCATAGTGCTTTTCATTGTCAGGATTTGAAAGAAATTCTAGACAATCAGAAATCTTTTCTCTTCTCAATATATCAATGATCACACTGTAAAATGAATCATCAATATCTTTAGATTAAGCTAAAAACTCATACAAATCTTCTTTCTTTTTAAAAGTGTTAGACATTTAACTTATTTAAAATAAATATTAATTATTATAAAACGAGTGAATTTTACCTCAAATTAAACATTTAATAAAACAAAACAAGAAAAGTAAGATTATATTTAATATCATTAAATACTTTAATAAAAGTGTATAGAATCACCCAGCATCCATCAAAGAGTTAAATTAATATAATAAAGGCATTGGAATGATGCGAAAAGAAATTTTATTTATATAAAATACCGAAACTATTAGCATGCTATAAGAATTATTTTGAGTTTAAATAAAGAAATTTGATAAGTGAATTAAGTAAAACGAAAGAAAATTACATTCTCCAAAATCAATAAAAAATTTTCTTACAATATATATATGATTTCTATCTTTAAATTAATAAAATAACATGTTTTAATACAGCATTCATTTTGAATTACTTTGAGACCTACTAGGTCTTCATTTTTTTATAGTAATTTTTCAATTTATGTATTTTAATCTTCCTCTAAGACATCAAACAATTACAAATATTATAATTATTAGTCTCATGAAAAAAGAATTTAAATTGTTTCATTCCTAATATAATTATTTTGAACAAAGAAAATCAGAATCAATAAATTGTTAATTGGAAAAATAACTTAACTTATAACCTTATCTTATTAAATATAAAATAAATATACTATTAGTTTTTTCATCATCTCCTATTGCATCAATCACAGATAACTGTTCATTTAAAAAATTATTTTTTCCAAAATTAGTTCATATAAAAATATTTTTGAAGTGTTTAATTATTTAGAAATGAATATTGATTCATTTACACTATTATTTTTAAATTCAATTATTTTTTTTATTTTCTTATGAATTCAATTAATTTTGAAATTGTTTTATTATATGGCTATTATTCAATAAGTTAGTTTTAAAATTATTTTTTTTCCAATCTTTGTAATCACTTTTAAATTCAAATCTAAATCTCTTTCTCTTTAATTAATAGATTTACACACCAATTCTAAATTTTCAAATCAGAAACATAAATTTCATTACTTATTGTTTAATTATCATAGTTTTTTATTTTAACTTGAGTTGCTTTTAACATAATGATATAATGAAAAGAAATTGAGTTCTAGATTTGAAGCTTTAATTTTTTCTTAGCTTTTTATTTGATAAAGAAATTCTTTCTCAAACAATCTTAACTTGCCATATTATGATTAATATGAAAAATCTTGACACCTTAATATTTCAATCAAATCATTAAAATGAATAAAAATATTAACTTCCTTAGATTTTTTGAGAAGTAAAGATGTTTAATTATTCTCAAATTTAATCAATCTTGAATATTGATTAAAGTTTCTGTATTATTATTTTATTAAATATCCACTTTCAGAATTGCTCATTATTTAAACAAGGAGTTGATATTTCATCATCGTTCTTAGATATTGTAACTTATATATTTATTAAAGCAATATCAGCCATACAAAAATCTTATATTACGAATGATTCATTAAAATTTATTTTGAAAATAGATGTTTAGACTAAATAATGTAAATAATTAAATTCTCAAAAGATTAATCTTAAAATTGAATGATACTCTAATTCTTAAAAAAGCACTCAGAACTTAAAAAACAAAAAAGAAGAGATAAAATAAAAGAAACCAGAACCAAGTACTTTTATATAAGAAAAATAATTGCAATTTAACATATATGGTTTTTCTGGATTATAATCACATTTACTTTTCTAAAAATTGATTTAGCCTTCCAATAAATAGCATCCTTTTTATTTTAAGAATAATCCTAAATCAATACCTTATTGATTGGTAAATTATTCATTAAAAATCAGAGCTCCTTCTGCTTAAAATATAAGTTTTTGAGAAATAAGAAGAATGGTAATTGGAGTGGTAGCTAATAAAATAGAAATTAATACTATTATGGAATAATGAATTAGCTTAATGAGGTAATTTTAATTAGGCAAGAATATCCTTTAAATTTTTATCCGAGTCTAGGATTTAATATCCTGTCTTAAAATCCCATAAGCGGATAGAACAATCTTTACAACTATGAAGAATACCATTACAAGATGCTAATAAAGTACCATCAGGTGAGATGCATACTGAATTAACACAACTATCATGACAATCCAATTTGGCTATTTATTATCATGTTTAAACATCCCATAAACGGATAGAAAAATTCCCTCCATTATAAGGATTACCACAACCAGAAGCTAATGTAGTACCATCAGGTGAAAAGCATACTGAATTTACACATAAATCATGACCATTCAATTTGGCTATTTATTATCCTGTCTAATCATACCATTAAAGGATAGACTTATCATCACTACAAGATGCCAAGGTTTAACCTTCAGGAGAGAAGCAAACTGAAAGGACATAATCCCTATGACCATTTAGTATGGATTTTTATCGTCCCGTCTTAGCATCCCATAAACAAACAGACTTATCTTCACTACAAGATGCGAATATTTTACGATCAGGAGAAAAACTTACTTAAAGGACAGATCTAGAATGACCATCTAATTTTGATTATTATAGGGCTGTTTTAACATCCCATAAATGGATGGACTAATCGAAGCTACCAGACGCAAATATTAAGCCATCTGAAGAGAAACAAACAGATGTAACCCAACCACTATGGTCGTACAACATAGATTTTAGTTGGCATTTCTGCATGTTCCAAATACCGATAGAGCCATCACTACAACCAGATGCTAATGTACAACCATCTGGAGTGAAGCTAATTGAATTAATCCAACTACTATGGCCAAAAAACTCTAAATAATATTTTTTATGCCTTAACATCCCATTAACAGATGGAACAATCTCAACCAGATGCTAATTTAGAACCATCAGGAGAAAAGCATACTGATATAACAGGGTTATTATGAGCATTTAATTTTGTTCTAGATATCCCATTCTTTATATCCCATATATTGATAGAGTTATCTAAACTACCAGATGCTAATGTAGTACTATTGGGAGAAAAACAAATAGATTTCACATCTTTTGAGTGACCATTCAATTTTTATTTGTATTGTCCTGTCTTAACATCCCATACACAGATAGAGTTATTGTAGTACCATCAGGAGAGAAACAAACTGATCAAACATGATTGCTATAATAATTTAATATTGCATCTTATCTTCCTGTTTAAATATTCCATAAACGAATGGAACCATCTCCAAAACTGGATGCTAATGCAGTACTATCTGGAGAGAAGCATACTGTAAGATCAATCTTCATTTCAATTAATAAATTTAATGAATTTGATCCACTTTAGATGAATTAGTTATCCAAAGATGTATGCTGAACTAAAAATTATAAAAATTTGATGATCCTCTAATCCTCTTTTATATTTTCCTTTAAACTTTTTCTCGTTTGCAAATAGATTTCAGTGGAATAGTCATTTTAATTAAAATCATGGTCTCTTATTTATTTGAGAATATTAATTATTATCTTAATGTTATTTGTTACTAAATTTAACTTCTAATCTTTATCAACCTATAATAAATTTCTAATTGCAAAATGAATTATTTGCAATTCATTTGATTATATTCTATTTATAGATATCCTAAACTATCTGAAATATTTTCTTTTCTAAATATTTTAATTATCACACCGAATATTTATTCATCAACATCTTTAACATTAGCTAAAATCTCTGATAGATCTTCTCTCCATTAATTAGTACATTATATTTTCTTTATTTTTAATTTAAATTTCTATTACTTCTTTTTATAATATTATATAAATACTGTAAAAAAGTATTTTATGTAATTTTTTATGGAGACTAGACTTTTTGCAAATTTAAAGTCGATTGAAATGTAGGAATAATTATTACTCTTTAGAAATATAAAAAAAATTCTAAATCACAAGTGATTTATTTGATCATTTTTTTATCATCAATTGAATACATTTTAATTAATCTCCAAGATTTCTTAGAAATATTTGGTATTTTGAAAAAAGATTTTATTTTTAATTATGAATAATTGTTTGTCCTATGTTATTTTTAAACTTGCCAAACAACATTACTTCTCAATTAGTATCTTTCATTCCTTGATAATTTTTGAGAGATAAAATACAACTTAATTCACTTACCTATCCTGTTTGTACACTTTTACTTCCAATCTTATATATATTATATATTTTTAATCAATTCTAGAAAGTCTTGGATATCAGATTAATGAAAATAAATATTATTGTTTTATAGTTGATCATCTTTTTAAGGAAGTCCTATCACCATCTCAAGAATATGTACTTAAAATGGTGATTAAAAATTTAATAAGCACTCCAACATATCTTGCATTTCTAATTATTACTAAAGTATTCACTCATTCATTTATCATTCTTATAATTTTTAGTACTCACTTAGCTCCAAAAATTATTGATAAAATATTCAAGAATATCAATGATATCAAGAAACAATAACTTAATTATACGATACAGTACTTCAAAATATACTTTTTTCTTCATAAATTGTTAAATAATTGGGCTATTTAATACTAAATTAATAAATAACAAGATACTTTTATTTAAGTTATAAAGAAAATTCCAGCATATGTAATTGAATTTAAATATATGTTATTAAATGATATTGAAATAAAATGACAATATAAGAAATTCATAATAACTGTAATTTAATTTTTATAATTAATTAATCATATCAGATAAGTTCATTATTGATTACATTCCACTATGTAAATATAAATAAATTGATACTTTATAGTACTTTTAAAATATACAATCACTCTTATATATCTCATAATCTGTAGAAAAATAACCTCCAATAAAACTGTATGAGAATTTTTATCTGCAGAATCATTTTACAGATTTCTATAATCCTATTGTTAATTCAAAATGCATTTCTTTTTTTATAAATCTTTATCTACTCATTTCCTAATTCTATGAGTCTTTTGTTTTTTATGCAAGTCTAATAGATATTCTTTTCCTAAAATAAAAACTATTACTATTGATCTAAAGCTTTTGGAA